GCATCTTGTAGCATCGCTTATTTCAGTTTTAGCATAACTGGCTTGTGATCTACTAAAATAAAACACAAAACAAAATACCTTCTGAATTTATTTCACAATTATCAAATCATGAAGCAAGCCCTAATCAGTTATAATTTTTTCCTAAGATCCTTTTTTTGATGTCGGAGAAGATGATGCTGATGGTTTATTCAGTAGAAAATCTCCTGTGCTAGAACCAAGCAAGCCAACTACAAGTATTAAACCACCTACTCAGTCTTCTAATGTAAGTAAATGTCCATTGCACGGTTCCCATATAATTATTGCCAGTGTTTTAGTACTTATAATATGTGTGCAACTAACATGGAGTTTTGTATTATTTGTTTTAATAGTCAACTTCAGTCCCATCAAGTGATTCCTCTTTAAGTAACAGTGCATCGTCCAGCCCTAGAAAAGAAGCTACTTCTAACATTGGCAAATTACAAGTGAGTTTACAGCTAATTAATACAGATAATTGCACGAGTATAACACCCATGCTTACGTTCAGCAGCTTGTGACTGCCATGCAGCCAAAGACAAAAAGCTATATTCAGTGTGTTGTATTACGTATCATGTGATGGTGAATGTATTCTTTATTTGTATGACTATCCCAACCAAATCTCTAATAGAGTAGGGGTTATAGGTACTGACCCCCAATACCAAAGTTATGTTACAAACCCAGCTTGTTCACATTTTTCTATAGTTCAGCTCTAAAATTCAAAACCTTGACACTTAGCCAAGCTCTAGGTTCAGAAATACTTGACTATTTATTCATAGTAATTTACATACAAAAAAAAAGTGTGTGAATTACTATAATCTAAAAATCTAAAATCTAATATAAACTAAAACTGAGTGTTAATGATATACTTATGAAATAACTATGGCAACCAATAATCTATGCAGAGGCTGAAGACAAAGTATAAAACAATAGGTCACATGACCAAGTGTGACATCAATAGTTTAACTATACAGTTGTCACCCTATCATCATAAGTTACAGCGTGCCATTATTTTGTGATACCTGTAACCTACTGTATTAGGAAATGTGAATTCCAAATATGAAACTATTACGTAATACAATGTATTCCCAAGATGGCGGACTGTTAGAAGTCCATAGAGAGAAAGTGCCATAAATTTACATTCATTTTGAGCTTCAAGTGGTTTAGATCATTGGTAGATATTCTTACTGTATTGTCTTTGTGCATATATGCGGAATCCCTTCATAAAAACATTTTAGATATTTGGTATAGCCCTG